TCCCCGAAAAAAAAAGATGTCTTTTTTTTATTTTTTTTTACCTTCCAATTTGTATAGCTATATGCTGAAAACAGGCTTTAAAGTCCGTTTGTAGTATATTCCTATACAAATTCACTGCCTTCCCCCCCGAAAAAAAAAGATGTCTTTTTTTTATTTTTTTTTTTTACCTTCCAATTTGTATAGCTATATGCTGAAAACAGGCTTTAAAGTCCGTTTGTAGTATATTCCTATACAAATTCACTGCCTTCCCCCCCGAAAAAAAAGATGTCTTTTTTTTATTTTTTTTACCTTCCAATTTGTATAGCTATATACTGAAAACAGGCCTTAAATTCCGTTTGTAGTATATTCCTATACAAATTTACTCCCTTTTCCCCAAAAAGATGTCTTTTTTTTTTTTTATTTTACCTTCAAATTTGTATAGCTACATACTGAGAACAGGCGTTCAAGTCCGTTTGTAGTATATTGGTATACATGGTCTATTTTTAGAAAGGGTGAGACAACATTCCCAGACAAAAGGGGGTAGAGTTAATTTTTATCATGTCTAGAAGACATGATAAAAATTAACAAAAAGATTTTTTTTTTTTTTTTTTCATCTCAGAATTTTTTTCCCAGTCGACAGCCAACAGAAATGTTTCCAGCCAACGCGATTTACTTTCACTTTCAACTCTTTTCTATATAAGTATTCCACGTTTTCTGTTCAGAACCGTGCGGGCTGTCCAAGGTGCAACATGACTATAGACGAGCGGTCTAATAGTTCCATGACAAAATATCGCTTTAATCTTTTCAGTAACATTATTGAGGATACTTTTCTTGTAAAAAAGAAAAAAAGTATTGTTTTCTTTCATCTAGGGAAACAATCATACCTTGGATGTTTAGAAGAAGATCCGTTTAAGTAAAAACGATTAGCCCCATCGCACAACATCATCATGGGTTCTCAATCTTATCCCAACAGCCCTGTGATCATTGTTTTTTTCAAAAGTCAGGCCAAAGTATTCCTTTTAAAAACATTTTCTGTTCTTCCTGGGTGGGGGATTGCGTACCGAGAATGTATTTTTCCACAAACCCCACGGATTAGAACAGAAATATATTACAATCATCACGCCATCGTGGTTTTCGAAAGACCAAAACAATTCCTCATGAAACAACATCTTTTCTTTTCTTCCTGGTTGTGGGATGAGGTAGAGATGTTTGCATCATCGTCCACAACCCACACTGATCTGAACAGAAATGTGGAATGTTTTTATAGATATAAGAAATTAAACTGAAAGTGAAAGTAAAAATGAAATCGTGTTGGCTGGAAATATTTCTTGGCTGTCGAATGGGAAAAAAATTTCCAAAGCTTAAAAAAAAAAAAAAAAAAAAAAAAACTCTTCCTTTTTTCTATTAATTTGATGTCTTCATTTTCTATCATGTCATAGAAACAGACATGATAAAAATTAACAAAAAGTTTTTTTTTTTTTTTTTTTTTTTTTTTTTTTTTTTACATCTCAGAATTTTTTTTTCTGAGCTCTGAAAATTTTTTCCCAGTCGGCAACCAATTGAAAAATTTCCAGCCAATCGGCTTTTACTTTCACTTTCAACTCTTTTCTATAAAAGTATTCTACGTTTTTCTGTTCAGAACCGTGCGGGCTCTCCATGGTGCAACATGCTTTTTCTCTCTCTACCTCATCTGCATCTAGGATGTTTTTCCTTCTTCAAGAAGTGGAATTTTTTGGGAATACCTTACAATTTCACGAGCTAGCTGTTTCTTATATTTCGAGGAGATTTCAATGAAATTGTTTATAGATGTCATCTATTGCAGATGGGGAAAAAGTCTATACTGGATCGCTGGAGACATCTCATCCAGATAGGTCACGTTATATGTTTTCCCACACCTAAATAAACTGGACATGAGCCATCCTTTTGTTTTCTCATCCAACAAAGATAGACACTGCAGACCGTTTTTGGGTTTTCACTCTTCGCGAACCGAGATGAGCCGCAGCCACACTTTGCGTTTTCTCTGAGCGCAATAGTGGATCACGTGAGCAGCCATTTTGTTTCCCATCTCACCCAGATAGGTCATGTTGTATTTTGTTTCATGCACCTAGCCAATTTTGGACATGAGCCATCCTTTTTTTTTTTTTTTTTTGTCTATCGAACCAAGATGGACTCTGGAGACAATTTTGTTTCTCAACGGAAAAGTAAATTTTCTGAATGGGTACCGGTGTTCGAATACTTTTGTGGCCGACTGTACACAGCGATCTGTTTCTCTTAAATGCATCAGAGAATTACACAAACTCAGTATCGTTCATAACCTTGGCATTAAACACCAGGCATGATTACGATCCTCCTACAACAGTTGAAACTTTAACACATACTCCAATATAATGAAAATAAAAGAAGGATCCTGATTTTAATCTTTTAAAAATAGCAGCAAGCAATTAGAAAGGCAGACCTAATGACAGAGAGAAAAATATTACACAACTCCATTGATTCGAGCTATAAAAAATTCCAAAAAAATGACCTAGCGACGAAAATAAAGCTACCATAATACTGTAAAAGCTATCATAAAAAAATGCCGTGCACCCGATATTTCACTTAGCCAATAATAAAAATGGGTACTATTCCGTTTTGAGGACCGTAAAAAAATTGCAGCGAAAAATAATGCGCAAAAGCGCCAAATCTAGCAAACGCGCACATTTAACAGCGCGCCAAATCTAGCGTACGCGCTGATTTCAGATTGCACAAGTTTCCATAGTTCTATATTTCTTAAGACTCCATTGAAATACTAGTTTAATTTTTAAATCCTTTTTTGATATCCTATGGATTTAACAATTTGAGAATTACCCGTGATGAAAAGTCTGCAATAGAATTTTGGGTAAAGTGCAGAATCGCCTACTGCTTGATGCGTTTTTAAGAATTGCACATACTCGGTATCCATGTACACATCGACCTATTTTCACTTTAAAAAAAATCCCAGAATTGCACAAAAATGGCACTGCGCACACCCTTGACTTTATCTATGTACATATCGACGTATTTTCACTCAAAAAGTAAAAGAAAATTGACAAAAATCCAATTGTTTTTAACCTTGTAAAAAGCAGCAAACAAATAAGTGGGCGATTCTGCACATTACCGAGAATGTATTCAAAGAAAAGGCATCATTCATTATAGAAAATTATGTTTGAACAACCAACGAGATGAAATTATGTTTTAGCGATGACTCCGTAGCGAAATAGCAATGCAGGCATCCATTCAGTTATGTTTAGCAATTTTTATATAAATTATAATAATAAGAAAGTATGATATGAAATTAACCTTTCATCTAAATTAAAACATCAATCTTAGACAGTTATTTACTATTTTACTTCCTTTCTTGCCGCAATTATTAGGGTTGCCGAATTATTTTTGGCAGCATTGGCATCGCAGTTTGGCGATTTTTTTATGGCCCTCGAAACCGAATAGTACCTTAAAAGGAAACTTACCTTCAGTCTTCTAGTTTACTGGAATGTGTTGGTGACGTCTCACTCATAAAAGTCTGTCCAGCTAATCGTTTCATACAGGCCTTGAAAATGGATGTTTGCATTTGCCTCCAGTAACTCTACACATCGACTAATAACCATATAGGCAAGTCTTTCGCTTTACGAATTTTATATTAGTTCATATTTATACGATCTTGTAACTAACATTTTCTTCATACACTATTTAATCACACCTTTTTTACCCTATCGCTCCAACTCGTAAAAATCAAATTTAATATTCACTCATACTGCAGGAAGCACCGAGAACACTCATTAGTGATTAAAAAGTTCTTTTTAGCCGAAGGATTTTTATCCTATGTTTTGAGCAGTTGCGGTTATAAATGTTTATTGAACATTTTCAATCGTTTGGTAATTCTTAATAATGCTATTATGAGCGCTAAATCGTTGCGCTTAATGCACACAACACACAATAAAGTAGATTTACAATTTTACAAAAAATCTCACGCAGCAGCATTCTAAAACATCTAAATTCAGTAAAATATAATTTAAATTGCCTTTAAATACGAATCTATACAGTAGCTGTAACTTCTTTATAAAAAGAGGCATGAGATAAGTAAACAACTTCTTGATTTGTGCAGCGTCTTCTAGGATTGAGCTCACATAAACAGGGTACGTTATTATTCGACGAACAGTGTGGGGTAACCTTAGGTGAGGGGAGGTTCCTTTTTATGAGTTTTTCTTCCATACAATTTAGAAGCTGCAGCAAAAGAATTAGAATAATAATTCTAATTTCTAGAATTCTAATTTCTAGAATTAAGAAGAAAGATTATTTTTTTATAATTAGTATTGACAGTACAAGACAACAATAGAATGTATTAAATATTTTGTAGAATCATAAATTTTTCAGCATTTACTTTAGTGAAAGGCCGCTAGGAGAATAAAGAAGTTAAAGCCCATGATGAGTCTTGTTGATCACTTTGCCACAGTGCAGTAGATACCCAGTATATTTCAACGTAGTATCTTAGTATCTTAGGAGATCACTTTTCCAAATGATGTCCTTGACTGCTTGCATTTGTGACAGTTTATTAATAGGAATCTCGACACTTCTGAGCCATTGTAATTTATTGAAATCGTTAAATTTTAAATTATCGAAAGCTATAGTAATCATTGAAAAACTGTCGTCCTGGCATTTTTGATCAAATATCAGGAAGAAAACAAGCAATTTCTTTCAGTTAAGAATAAAAGGCTTTAGAAAAATTAAATAAAAACAAAAATCGGTTTTCTGAACGAGGCTGTTTAAAGACGTTACTGGCCTGCATTTAGTACTTGATAAGAATAATTTTGTACAATAACTTAAAGGGGTCTTTTATAAATCAACTCTTTAGAATAAAACACTTTATTTCTCTCGTGATGTGCAAATTTTGCGAAATTGGAGGGCTGCCTTTGCACCCTTTTCAGGATTACAATATTTAAAATTTTATCCTCTGGGCCAAAAGACTGAAAGCACGCTGCAACACGTAAATTGTTATGGGAAGTGTTTCGAATTGGATACTATTCGAGATACCTATATTTTACAATATTGAACAGGTTAATTCCTCTGCACGGGGTTTTAAAAAAAGAAGCAACTTAAACAACTTACGTTGAAAGACATTTTTAATAAAGTAAACAAATAAATATTAAGCTTTTGTTTTATAAATATTGATACTCTTTAGATCATAACTGCTTCATGATTTCATAAATCACGATTTCATATTTTTAATTTTATAATTTCTACCTGCCATCTGACTAGATTTAAACTGATGATCTAATACCGGAAAAATCTCACGGACTTTGTACTGTATTAGGGTATTAAGTGTCATTTATGAAGCTTATATGTTGAGTATTGTTTTTATCCTTTGTTAATTACTTGGTGTTATTAAAGTATTCCAAAAATAAAAAGTATAGCTGTTTTTTTAGATGTAATAATTTTAGTACTTGTGTTTATACTAAAAGTGCAATTTTTTACTTTTCGGATAACTGCAGTGTTTGAGAACGAATTGATTATTAATGTTTTTATACGGTTTTTTATGTGTAAAAACTGTATTTTTGTGGTATCTACTTTGAGTACTAGTTTTATTTCTTATAGAGACTCATGTAGGGTAAACTGAAAAGCCTTGTCTTGCAAAACGATTTCTGAATCATGGTTAATTTTTTGTGTTATTGAGGCATTTCAGAACTAATACAGTTATTTATATTTCTATATAAAAACGGAACAGTGCAAAATAATTACTTGATGAAACAGTGCAAAATAATTAGTTCATATATTAAGTAACTGTCGTTTTGTTCAATACCACAATTTTACTTGTGATGAACTGAATATTTTATTTACTTATTTTGACATGTTCTAAAAAATCTTTCTTCTATTTGATTTTTAATGCCTCTACTTAATCATCCAGTACTGCAAATTCCCATTTTAATTAATGCTTATTTCCAATTTTCCTTTTACTTCCATAATTTTTCTCTTTGAGGAATGTTTTAATATGCTTAAATAATAATTAGATGTGTCAGTGTGGTACTTTTCCGTTTCGCCGGCGCAAATCTCGCCAAGCAGACTTTATTGGCGTCAACATACAGTATACACATAAAAAATATTTAAAAAAATGTTAGTTTTAAGAATTCTTTTTTTAAAGGCATAAACATTTTAATATCGCTTAAAATTTTATAAAAAACTGATAAATAAAGACAATAAATTTGAAAAAGACATTAATTTAAGAATTTACTACGCTTTCATGGTTCATATCACGTGACCCGAAGCGATCTCTTCTCACGTAAACTACTCTCTACAAAAATCTAATGCTCTCAGTAATTATCTACATTAATTTCAAGTTAAATCTTAATTTGGAACACAAGTTTAATGCAAAAAATATTTCAATTCGTACGAATAGCTTACTCAGAAATTATGTAAAACTGCAGTACTTTACTTCGCTAATGCATTCTCATTAGAATTGATGAATTTAACTCTTGACTTTACCTTTTCTATATTTTCGGCTTCGGGTAAGAGCTGTGATTGCATCCTAATTGACTTAATTACCGAAAATGGCCTTGGACATAAAACTGAACTATCTGATAAAAATTCTATGTAATTATATGTCAGTATTGAAAGAAACAATCAATCTGATAAGAAAAAGCTGCGACTTGTTTTGAAAATGAGGCGTAAAAGGTTACCAGCGAGAATATTCCGTTTGGCATCGGTTGCACCATTATTAGCGACTTTATCGCTTGCGCCGGTAAAACGGAAAAGTACCGTCAGTGTTTCTACCAATATAAACGTTTAACTTTGGAAATAGTATTATACGTATTATATGATCTTTAGATAACTTTGGAAATAGTATTATACGATCTTTTTTAAGCATTCTTGCATAATGAAATTTTCAAGAATTTGGCTTTTATTTACAGTTATATATTTACACGTACTCTCTTCCAACATTTTAAAATTTTTTTATCACCTAACATGACTGAAAAATCTGTCGATTATGCAACTTTTCCATGCGAGTACAAAATCACGCCTTTAATGTAATTTTAAAAGTGTCCTTTTATGAATTCTGTCTCATAGATAGTTTTCTATGCAAGTACAAAATCACGCCTTTAATGTAATTTTACAAGTGCCCTTTTATGAATTCTGTCTCATTTTAATTTATCTCATTTTAATCTGTTACCGCTTTGCCGAAAAGTATTTTTAAAAATTGATAACTGTGAAGTTTTGTTTTACATACTGTGTTTAAATTAACAGTTCTTTGCTTTTCATGTTCTATCTGTTAATCATCTTGATAAATATTCGCAAAACCATTTATAGTTCCATAGTTTTAAGCCATATGTTCATGATGCACTGATGTATTTATGGTTAATCATTTGCATATTAACCAGTATGAAAGTGCCTCTAGAATTGAAGTACAAGGATACATCGATAATCATAATTTCGGATATATTGCGACTGTGATATGCAGTATCACATATAGAGCCAGGATTACATTTAATTCTTCAAGTCATCGCTGTTCAGACAACACTTGTGACATTTCATTTTCACCCAGTGCCATCTGCTTGCCTGTAATTGTCTGCTTTCACCCGAAGTATATGTGGCTGTTTATTTCTCTGTTTTGTGGCTGTTTTTCTTCCAGTCTGGAATTCTGACTAGAAATGTTCCTTTTGTCTCCTGGCAAATTCCACCGTGGACTTACTGTTGTGGCAAGATACGACCTTGATTATTCTTTTGACGCGTAAAAAGTCTTTGTCAATTTCGACAATCTATCCGGGGCCGCCAATTTTAATATTTCAATTAACCTCTAAGTCTTTCATATGCACTTCATGCATATAATTATTCCAATCTATAAGTCTTATCGGATAAATCCAACTGATGTTGGCACCATTTAATGGATGACTGTTCATATACCCAAAAGTAAATAAATCTTAAAGCTTTTAAAAATTCAATATGACTGTTTTCAAACCACATACCAGTTCGGACATCAAACTTTTGTTGACAATTTTTGACATTGCATCTCCAATAAAATCCTGAATTACAAATTTCATATCATGGCCATTTTTACAAATGCATTCCTTAGGTAAAATAACAGCCTCTCTGAAAAGTTCTATCGCTTCTCCATTTGAAAAAAGTTAGAAAATTTTGATATCCGCTGAGAAAAAAATAATCACATAAAGTTTCACATGTTTAACCTCTAAATTTCAAACGTTGCTAGTGTTTGAAAACAAATGTCAGCCACTGTTTTTAAAAATAGTGTAGAAATAATTTAGAGCTGTATCTGATTTGAAATATAAGCTGTAGCTAATTGAAATTGAATTACTGGCATCCATGAGAATTGAGTTTCTCTTCATATTCTAATTAATGTAATCTAATATCAATATAATTAATCACTCTGATTAAATTATATTTCCTATTAATGTTTTCCTTGAAAAGTTTGAAATTGTATTCATCCTTTTTTTCTTACTATTGAAGTTGCTTTTCTTAGCTGAATAAATTTGTTTAATGTTATTTATTTTTTTTTTAATTTCAGTTTTCAGCATGAAGAAAGGGAAAAAAAGTCGGTCCAGATCTTCACGCTTTGAAGATTCCAAGTCATCAGATTCAATTAATAAAAGTCACATTGAAGAAATATCATTAGAAAAGTCAAAAGTTCTATTTCGTGAGCCATTTGTCGTTTTGCTTCGTAAATTTTGCGATTCATATGAAGAATGTAAGTTATTTATGTAATCAGTAAAAGCATTATTTTATCAAAAATTTGTATTGGTAAACATATTTTTATAAACTCACTTTTTAATATATGAAAATTAAATTAAAAACGTATTTTATTGATAAAAATTTAAAATATTTATTTTTGGTTTTTTCAGCATTTTCAGTTTTTAGATTTACAATGAGAAATTTCTTAATGCTGAAAATTGAAAAGAAATATCATTTATAACAAATGTTTTATTGGTTTTAAAAATTAGTTCAACTTTCATGCAGTAATTTATAAGCATTCAATAAGTATTTGCATTAGCTTCAGTAAGAAGAAACTTAATGCATTTGATGGGAAAAACATATATATGTTAGCTGAAATGATGACACAGGAATGAATGCTGCTGGATTGTTCTATCAGTTCTACTCCCTTTACAGTATGTGTTGCTGTGCACATAACTGTAGCAATCCACCTGACACACTGCTTTAACTTTTGTTATTTTGTCATGTAAAGATTATCCGTTGGCATTTAGAATATGGCTGTTGATATAGATTATTTAAACTGAATTATATTTACACCAAAAGTAAAAACAGTACTCCTTTGTTATAGTGGTCCCCAAGATTGAAAAATCAATCAACTGAGATATCTTGCAAAAATCTGGCTGCATGTTATAATTGTATATTGTACAGAATCGTATATTGCCACATAATTGTATATTAATACCATGCTGCATTTTTTACTCTCATCACATGTTCTTATATTATTCATTTTTGTTCTTATATTATTCATTAAGGTTTACAAATCTACATTGTGTATTTAAAAGTAAATTCGGTACAACTCTGATAAACACCCTAATTTCACCAAATGTGGCGATATGTGTTTTGCGCTGGTTTTTGGCGCGATTGCGTGTAGTATGGCACCATGTCGATGTTGAAAAATGTTTTGGTGGAGTAGTTTAATCGCTAGTTGGTTCGTGTCGCATGTGTTTTTGAAATGGCCTATGTTACGATGAAAGACGTGGTGGGAAGGTTTCAGCCGCGTATTTTAGATTGTGTGCAGAGTAAATTTAGTATGAAAAGGTACGATGTTGGAGTTGTTAACGAGTCTTTTGTTCATGGATGTAATTTATGGGGATCGTAGTATATTTTTGGAATTTCTGTGGGAGTTGGGACTTTTAAAACGGAGTTTGACGTGTCCGAAATGCGGAGCTGATGTGAGAACTCGGACGAAAAATGGTGTTTCTTCTGATAGACTTGTGTGGGTTTGCAGTAAAATTGTTGCTAATAAAGTATGTGGGTGTAAGTGGTTTAAGGTTTGGAATCTTGGTTTTCGTGTAGAGTTAACGTTGGAGGAAGTTTTTATTGTTACTTTCGATATTTTGAATCGTAGGGAGGTATGTGATATAGCAAAATCGTGGAAGTTTTCTTCACAGATTGTGTGACTGGCGAAATTTTATTAACGAATGTATTTTGGACTTTGTATGCTCTGTATCTGAGAAGATAGGGGGGAAAGATATTTCTGCTTTTTTAAAGAAGCTTTCATTGTGGTAAGTGCATCTTATTTTATTGTTTTTATTTTGTAGAATGTTATATTTATTGTTTTTTTGTATGAATTTCTGTTTTTATTGTTGTTTTTTGAATTGTCTGAAGTTTATTTGGTACTTACGTATTAACGCAACCAGGCCAAAATTCGCATAAATCGCCAAATTTGGCGACCCTACTTACGGCAACCCTACGTGTTATACGTAGTTTTTCGTTACATGCGGGAGATATGTGCCCTTGAAATGGATGAAAAAGAAAGAAAGCAAATAGGCAGCGAAGGACTTATTGTGGAAATAAACGAAAGTTTATTTGTAAAAAGAAAAAATAACACTGGGTGTTTACTACCAGAGCAATGAGTTTTCGGCGGAATTTGCCGAGAAAAGAAAGAGACATTTTTGGTTACTGTACCTAACAGAAGCACCATTACCCTCATGGAAAAAATTTGCGAAAATATCAAGGAAGGAAGCATCATTTATTCGGATTGCTGGAAAGGATACAATACAAGTGAGTTTATATGGCGCCAAGCTCAAGCTGTTAATGGCGAAGACGATTTTCAATCAGTGCTAAAAGCAATAGCCAAAAGATTTCCGCCGAAAAAATAATTTTGCAACTTTTTCAAATTCGAAACCGGAAGGGTTTAATTGCTATTTTATATTTTAAAACAAAATAATGTAAAAAATTGTATTAAAAATTATCTGTAATTAATAAATGTACATTTTCTTTCTACTCGTACTTTTTTACTCAAACTTACAAATTGCGTCATCCTGGTTGCGATAATACGTAAGTACCATTTATTTCAGTTTATTTTCTTGATTTGTTTTTAGTGTAGATTGTGCATTCGTAGATGTTTTTAAAATTGAACAGAACGCTGTGTACATGGTTTCTTTGAATTTATTGTTGTTATGTTAATTTATTAAAGCGAGGTGTGCGTAGTTCGTAGATTCGTTCGTGGCCTACAGTGTGCCATTCGTAGATGTTTTTTTTAAAACATGTCACTGTGTACATGGATTCTTGTCAGATATTTATGGTTAGAACTTTACGTTTTTGCTATCTAAATTTTTTGTTTTTGTTTCGGATTTTTAGCTTAAATCGTGTGTTCAAAACGTAGTTTTTGCATGTGCAAAAACCGTGTTTTTGGAGACATTTTAGGCTTAAAGTTTGAAATGTAGACAAAAAATTTAGATCGTAATATGACAGCGTGAAGTTTCTCGCCAAAAATATTTGGCGAGAAATTTGGCGACTTGAGGGTGCTTATCAGAATAGTTCCGTAAATTCACTGCTTGTTTTCTAAATATGATGTTTACAATCTTTAATTTACCAAGTAATGAGGTGGATGCTATATTATTTTTTCAAGAAAGAGGTCTTTTACCTGACAAACCAGTATGCGAAAGTGGCCCCAACACAAAACTTTATGTTAATGAGGAAACAATTGGGAGGCGTAATATTAAAAATTGCAAAAAGAAGATGGGCCTCTTGGATGTTGGAAATTGGATATCCAGAATATCGTTCATCCCTGCTATTAGATTTATGTATTCTTGGGCAGAGAAACTAACATACATGAAATGGTGTAACAAACAGCTTAATATGTGTAAAAGTGCTGCAGTTACATGCGATAAATTAATAATAAGGATAAAAATTCTTAAAAATAGTCTTAGGAAACTACATGAGTATTATTGTTGTTGTTATTATATATTGTGTTCTTTATTTTCTCATTCATGCTTCACAAGCTTGGTGAAATTATAGCCAAGATCTTGGCACAAATCTAGAAGTGCCAAATATGGTTGATGGCAGCTATAACAAAATAGTACCAAAAAACTGATTCCATTTGCAGGAAAAAATCCTTTTTAGGACAAAAGGCCCTTTTAGTATGAAAATATAATTTTGCATCATTTCATTTTTCATTTAAGTCTTGCCATACAGCAAAATGTAAGATATTTATCTTTTGAATTTAATCTGTTTGTTGCTGGTTAACAAACTAAGATATTTAAAAGCAATGGATGAAGTTCTTAAGAATATTATTATTATTTTACTTTTTAATATGATTTAAATAAAAATGTATTTAATTCATGATATATGTAATTAAAAACATTTATATTTCTATAAAATTATGTTATTTTTTCACTTTTCAAATATACGGAAGGTATGTCATGTTCTCATGCTAGTCTTAAGTCCATGTTACATATTATTCTGTCGACTGTGAAATTGTCACTGAGCAATGTGATGTAGCACCAGTAATGGATAAGCATGGCATAACAAAGCATTCGTAACATCTGCATTTTCATTTGATATAACACCAACTGATTCTCAAAAAGCTGCCTAAGACAAGAATATAAATTAACTATGAGTGCTGCATTTTCCCCCTGCATTTTGAAAAAATAATTAAGATTTGAGAGTCTTCTGCTGAAAAGCAGGCAGTGTATTATTTTTCAAAGTTATGGGATAATACCATTAAAAAAGTTTGTGTGTATAGACACGATATGGTCAGCTGAGTATGGCTAACAAAATGTAATAGATTGGAGCAATTATCTGTGGAAAGTTTGTACTCATAGCATTCTAAACAGAGCTTTCAGTAAAATGGAAAGGTCCAACAAAATAGTAGAAATCAACGAAAGTATTTTTATGAAGTGGGTCGAGTATTTATTGTTTATTGAATAAGACTTTAGTTCCTTCAGAATTTTGTAAGAACTATTGATGGGATCTCTGCCATCTTTCATAGTTTGATGGTAGTCAATATAGCTTTCATGGTTCTTTTATTGATATTATAGTGTGTTCCGGGCTCTATTTCAGGTGGCTGGACAAGCTGGCTGTGCATGGTTTTCCTCATGAATGATGTAAATGAAAGCCAATTTTCCTTTGGAAATCTTCCAAGAAAGCAGCCTTCCTCCTGGGCAGACCTTTATATAAATATGTATGGCTTTAAATGTCAGAAATGGCATTAGTGTCTTCACAAAAGATGGGAGGATTTGGATTATTTGAATTTTAGCAACTGCCTGAAGAATGGAAGAGCAAACTCAGATAGAATATATCCAACTGTACTTTTAATTTTTAAAAATCATTAAATAATGCATAAAATACGTAAATAGAATTTTTTTAATGTATTTTAATGATTAATTTCAAGTGAACAATGTTTATTTCCTGGTATTATTTTTGATAGTTTAGGTAATAACATTCTGTAGATAAAGATATTGTAATAATTACTTTAAAAAATTGCATAAATTTTGGGCTTTGATTCCAAAATTACAATTTTTGTAACATACATATAAATATGCATTTTTTTCTTTTTTCTTTTAGATTCAGAGCGTTTAAAATCTGGTTGGAAGCACACTGCATTTATCCATCCATCGGTTCTTGAAGGCTGTATTCCTTACACTCCCTACATCATTATAAGAGGACAGACAAATGAGGCTCTTTGTGAACCAGTATCAATGCAATGTATTAAAAAGAAATCTGAGATCTTTTTCCCAAAATGTGATATGGGGTTTAAACATGAAGAATCTGTGACTCTTCATCCTTACTATAAAAAAATTAAGCATGCTGACAATATTGATGTTTCATTGGAACCATTGAACCTTCCAGTTAATGAAGAATTAGCTAATCACATTTTAAGAATTCTGAGTATGTATTTTCATGATTTCTTTTTTCAGTCAAGAAAGATCTAAGAGTTCTTTTAATAATAAAAATTGAATTTAATTTATATGTAGTATTTTAATTAGTTTAATAATGAAGAAAAACTTAAATATTTATCAAAACTATTTAAAGAATTTTCTCAATTATATTGTATAATGCTCAGTTGCTAAGTCTTTCTGGTCCTATAGCTGAATCTAAAATATTAAGTTACAAAACCTGTTTCATATTTTTATTAAAAAATTTTCAAAATAAAAATATTTCTTTATATTAAAAATTCTTTACATTACATTTTTATGTTAAAAATTCTGGTAAAAGTATATTTTAAAGTACTCCTTGGCCATTTTTGGAGGTGCATGGATACCGAGTTTAGGCAATTCTTTGACTTTTTTTTTTTTTTTTTTTGCTTGCGTAGTGGTGATTTTTGCGCCCAAATTCTACACAAAGCCAAAATAACAAGACAAAGAATTGCACAAATTCGATATCCATGTACACATTGACTTATTTTCCACTTAAAATAAAAATCCCAAATTTGCACAAAAATGGCATTGTGCACTTTTTTGATTTAATCCATGTACACATCAACCTATTTTCACTTAAAAAAACATCAGAGAATTGCACAAACTATGCCTTACTCACTCCCTTGAGTTTGTGCATGTACACATCGATATATTTTCACTTAAAAAGTCAAGGACCACACAATTCTACTGTAGAGGCAAACAAAAAATACATAATCTTAATAAACTACATTTTAAGCCAAACAATAAAATAACATAAGGAAAAGCGTGTTATGCATTTAAGCACTACACAAAGCAAATATCAACTTACCTTATTTAGAAATTCGTTCGTCTTCAGTCTGTGGCAGACAAAATTCCTTAACAACATCCAGAAACTTCCTAAAATTATCTGAACTAGAATCCGTATCCACATAAATTTACAAAAATTAGAATAAAAAATATACTACGTAGTTCCGGACTGTCCGGAAGATGGCTACTAAGTAAACCTTCATTTACATACGAGTCAATTAATGCACTTTTTCCCTTTCGTTCCAAATTGTACAGAAACTTCAAATTAATCTTGCTACATTCAGCCATTTTACCGTCTAAACAGTGAAATAAGCAATGTACTTCCTAAGCAACACATCCATGATTCCAAAACATCCCATGTTTTGGATTCAAAATTTCCCAGAATAATGCAAACGATTATGCCATAATAAGTTTTCCATAACATTCAAATACTCAGGTACTACTCAACTTGCCTCAGGTTATTACTCACTATTCAACTACTCAACTTGGCGATAAATGAAACAACTTCGTGATAATACAAGGGGTACCCTAAAGCCAACTCTAACCAAAATTCCTTACATTTATAAACAAAGGGCTTTAAGTGTGTTCGTGTGTATACATATATATGTGTGTCTAGTAGTAGTAAAAGAACTTGGATGTTATTTAGTGTGTTTAAAAATAAACTATCTTAAATTGGGGTTGAAAAATAGTGCGTTTTCTTCAGAATAAGTACTCCCCCCCCCCCCCCAAGAATAAGATATTTGGCTCACAAATTTAATGTTGTATCTTTCTAGTTAGAAAATTTAATCATAATAAAGTCTTCAGGTACTACTTAGACTATAAACAAAATTTGTAACACCATATATGCATTCATAGCATAATACGTATAATTCACAGCAAGTTTTTAACAGGGCATCATGGGTGATATCGAGAAAATCGTCTTCTTGAGTTTTTCAATAAAATTTTCTTCTAGTTTGTGTTGTTTCTATATTTTACTGTCATGGCTTCTAGAAAATATGATTTGAAATTCATAAATTTATTATTAATTTGCTATTGGAAAAAATTGATGTGATAAAATATTATATAAAACATAACAGAATTTAAATTAAACAAAGATTCGAGTAACCATCCATGATGTTTTGTGAAACACAGTACAGTGCTTTTAAACTAATTGAAGATTTTGATTCTGGTAATATGAATCAAAATTTTACTAATGACATAGCATATTTATTAATTGAAAGGCTCTTAATCCAGTATAGTATACAATAACATAGGAATTCAGTATGCTAGGTATAATAGTTGAATGGTAAATTAAAAATTTTATATTGGAGAGCAAATGAAAAAAATTCAATTTTCTGTTTCAAAATTTATGTAAAGTTAGAATTTTGCTATAATTGAAAATAAGTTCACTTCTTTAAAATAAGAACTGAATTACTAATATAAGATGAATGTAGGAAAACTGGTCTAAATAACAAATAATTAGTTGTATCTAGGTCAAAAAGTTTAAACCATATTTTAAAGTTAAATAAAAAGTTAAATAATAATCAGATGAAATATTAAAAAAGATTTTTCTAATACTTTATATATTATAGGATGGAAAAAAAAATTAACAGTATAGTAAGTATCTGCGACATGAGTTTTCTTCCCAGAATAGAAAATATTAATTTTTAAGTTCCGTATTTTATGTTTGGAGAAATTAGTGTAAAAATAATTGTTTATGTTTTTGAGAAATATTGATATACTTCAAGAGGGGATCATGCTTAGTTTGAATTTGATGTAGTTAAAGTTTTTTGACATTTTGAAAATCAAATATTTTGTTCTTTTGTGAGTTCTTCTGTGAGACACTACTACTATTTTTTGTTCTATTAAAAAAAAAATTGTTAATGGTATAAAATGTTATCTTTTATACCTTAGCATTTCATGTTATGTACGGTTTTTGTTGGTATGTGTAACAATATAATACTTAACTATTATTTTTTTTTCGTATCATAAAATAATTCATTAGTTGTAAAACACATTTTATTTTAAAATTTAGTGTACTTCCCAAAGAAAATTTTAATGCAATTAGAATTTTCAGTTTAATATTATTGTTATTTCAATATTTATATGTTTTCAGGCAACAGATTTATTCACTGTGGAATGATGCGGCCTTTTGTATTATTTGATGCTACGTATCGTTGTACTATTTTAAATATTTCATCATCGAGTTTAGAGAAACATTCAGAAACTGAAAAGTCCTATAATCAGTGTGATTTAAAGAATGAATCAAGCACATCAGACTTAAGTTTGAATGAAACAAACTGTAGAAATACTTCGTTAGTGGCACATCTTGAAAGGGAACAAAGTGATTTAAATTTGTCTTTCACGACACAGATGTCATCCTTATCTATCAAAGATGATTCTGGAAATCGTATCAAGCAAAGTGAAAGTCAAGACTTTTATAAAGTGACTTATAAAACAAAACTGAATATCGTTCAGTCTTCAAATTCAAGTGAGAGCAAGAGTGGACCATTTTTCAGTGATGTTGCAGGACTAAACCAGCAGTTACATTCAATCAAAGAATTTTGTTTGAGGTTTTTTAGTAAAGAAAATTATAGTAAGTATTTTGAAATTCAAAACATATAATTATTTTGTGTATTATGTAAAATGTAGTACTTTGGATTTGCAACACTGTTTCAGAGAACATGTTTAAGCACAGTGAATAAACTATAAATAATTTTGTGTATAATCGGGATTGAAATTTAAGAATCATGTGTTTTCTGTGAAATTATTTGTTAAATGATATTAAGTCAGACTCTTTCACATAGCTATGTAGCTCATGTTATATAGTTTGGTTAATTTATAACAAATGTACCATGAAAGATACCACAGTGAAACTAGAAGGAATATGTGCATGCATATATAAAATGTTTTCCCAGTGTTCTATATGGTGCTATAAGCAGTTACTGTGTATCATATGATTCAGTAATTAATCCCTTAACTGCTGCGGGTGTATATATATATGGGTACTTTTCTGTTTTGCCAGCACAGACGATAAAGTCACTAATAATGGTACAACTGATGCCAGGCAAACAGAATACCCTCACTGGTAATCTTTTATGCCTCATTTTCAAAACAAGACACAGCTATTTCTTATCAGATTGATTGTTTCTTTCAATACTGGCATACATTTACATAGCATTTTTACCAGATAGTTCAATTTTATGCCTTAAGGCCATTCGCGGTAATTAAGTCAATTAGGATGCAATCACACTGCTTACCCGAAGGCGAAAATATAGAAAAGGCAAAGTCAAGGGTTTAAATTCATCAATTCTAATGAGAATGCACTAGCAAAGTAAAGCACTGTGGTTTTACATAGTTTCTGAGTAAGCTATTCGTACGAATTGAAATAATCCTTTCATTTAAACTTGTATTCCAAATTAAGATTTACTTGAAATTAATGTAGGTAATTACTGAGAGAATTAGATTTTTGTTGCATAGCTTACATGAGATGAGATCACTTGGAGTCGTGATACAAACCGTCGAATCAGGATGTTGAACCATAAAACCGTAGTAAATTCTCAAATTAATGTCTTTTTTAAAAATTTATTGTCTTTATTTATCGACCTTTTTACAAAATTTTAAACAATATTAAGATGTTTATGCCTTCAGAGTAAAAAATTCTCAAGAACTAACATTTTTTATGTGTATACTGTATGTTGTCGCCAGAAGTCTGCTTGACGAGATTTGCGCCGGCGAAATGGAAAAGTACCTATATATGCCTTGCTCAGCTGATGCGTTAGCTGCCGCGGGCGTATATATATGTCCTTCTGAAGTACAATCATTTGCTTTGCGCTGCTACCAGTAAAATTATTCACAAAGCTTTGAAATGAAAGCTTTGTGATTTTTGTTTTGATTTTTGCATACAAACATCATTTTTATTATACATACACCCTTTTTATTATACTTTGAATTTTTATTTTCATTTTTCTTTTATTCTTTATTTTGTGAAAGTAAACAGTTTTTAGACAGCAAAACTTGCACTTATTTTCCTTCTAATACATCGCATGCCTGTGTAAGAAACGGTAGTACTGAGGAGTGAATCTTGTACCTTTTCTGCACCAATTAAGGAATTAAAATGATGGTGCTTACAGAAGCCTTTTTATGGTTTAAATTTCAATAAAATGGGATCCGTTATTATAGTTCAACTCGAATTTGAATCAAACTTCAGAGCATCACTTCAAAACGGTGAACTTGTGTCTACAGTGTGATGAAAAATTAAGAGACAATGTTTTACCATTGTCTAGTGCTACATGATTATATGTATTTAAAGAGCAACTTTGTATATTGTATTTGCACTACCTTCTAATAAAATACAAGTATGAGCCATAATGAGCTGTAAAAATTTTAACAAAGATTTCCCAGTTTATATGTTACAAAAATAAAATATTACATTCTAATTAAATATTTTGCTTGTTTACGAAAAAGAGGAAATGTGAACTATTCTGCATGAAGCAAAACATTTTAAAATTAAAAAAAGCACAAAATATTATGAAAATTGCATAAAATAATATGTTTGTTTATTTAAGTTGCATAATTTATCTAGAATCTACCATATATTATTTTTTTCTTTCATGTCAGTTGATTTTCAGGGAAGCTTTTAGGTGGAGTAATAATTTAAAAAAAAGTTTATATATATATGAGTTTGGCAGATTAAAAAAAATCACAAAATTAGAGGAAAACTTAACAAAGGGCTTGGCACAAGCCCTATATGGCTCACCCATAAGAGTGAGTCTTGAACTTCATTCCATGTCCTTTAATTAAAAAATTTTTGTGAAACTAGCTAAAATGTATTCCATATAAAGTGAAGTTGTTGCAGCATTTAAATGATTTGCCAAAAGTGAAACAAGTCTTTACCATTGCATAGACTACAGTCAAAAGTCGTTAATTCGGACACCCATAATCCGGAATGATATATAATCCCTACCTCAAAGCTACAAACTTTCTGTACATGCGTCGCATAGACGCATGCGCATAAGACTTTTACGGCTGCGAATATGCGTGTGTGCAAAATACGTTTACGAATGCGCATGTAATGTATAAAAGACGGTATAAGCTAAGCTAAAACTATCTAATTCAGTTAATGTTGCAGATCATGTTGTTCCTTAATTTTCGAATTGGATTCACCTTATTATTTTTTGCAGACTGTTAGGGCAGTTTTATTAAAAGTAAGCTTGAACATTTTATTATGTCAAAAAGAGTTTCAAATTTCTGATATATATTTACTAATATGTAAAGGATCTACAAAGCGAAAGTATGTTTCGAAGTCCATGAAACAAAAAGTGGAATTGCTGCAAAAAATGGATAAAGGCATATCCTTTGTTTCTCTAACCATTCCGAAATCTGTTTATAAATTTCACGCTGCTGGTGGTGGGGAGGGGGGACGCCGCGGCGCGCAATGAATTGGAATTTGATCTGTCAGCACTATCCTTATCTTCAGGGCAGATGTTTTTAATGTTTTTATTTTATTTGGCTTATAATTCCTTACTAAATGTAGTATTTCATCTCGATGTACTCTGTGTTTGATATGATTTAAATCAAATTCCACGTCATTATGATTTGCTTCCGATAGTGAAGAAAGATTCAATTATGATTTCGATATTTTTTGTGGTACTTATCAATAAACAAGAGGTTAAATTACTCAAAAAAATTAAGTACATATTTTTCTTTTATTTTATAATTGTATACTTCAATTTTGTTAAAAAAAATTAATACACTATTTTCAAAAATTGCTGAGATAATTATTGTCACATATGTTTTAATGTTAATTATATTTTATATAACATATTTTAACGTATTTGAATTTAATAATATTCTAATTCTTTTAAATGTTGGTAGGATGGTTTTTAATTCGATATTCAATTTCAGTAATATTTTAATCTAATTAAACGTTGGCACAATGTTTTTATAGTGGTGTTTTATTCTCTTTTTTGCTATATGAAAGTAATAATATCCTTACTTTTGTATTTTATACTCATAGTAAATGTATTTATTTACACTTGCCTGCCATCTTAAAAAACGACATTTTCAACAAAAAATTAATCCATTACTTTTAACGATATTTATTTTTTTAAAGTTTCGAATACTTTACTATGCGTAAAAACAGCGTTTTTCAAGCTGGCTGATGATTGTAAAAATCGCGCCAACGTAAATTGCCAAAATTCCATGCAACCGTCTACCAAAGTAGCACCACAAAAGCTTGTGCATGCCAAGGAGAATTACTTGATTTAATTACACCTTCTTTAAGTAATTTACATACTTCTGTAGCTATGAATTTTTTATCTTCTTCAGTTTGGCGTCTTGACTTTCTAACAATAGGTCTACAATCAGGTGTTAAATTACAGAACAATGACACAGGGACTATAAGAGCAGTTGCTAATAAGAGCAGTTGCTAACAAATTCTAAGAAGTGGTCTGTCACCTTTAAATTCTATCTCAACAGAAAAATGATCTTTTAATAAATCATGCCCAATAAGGAAGTCTGCACAGAGGTTTTTCATAATTACAGTACAAAGTCCATAATCTGGACTCATCGAGACTTCGATGATTCCGGATTAGGGGTTTTTCCGGATTATAGATCATCAATTTAAATCTGGTAAGATGGCATGCAGAAATTATACAATTAATGGCCCTTTTTACCACATCCTTGACATATTGCATCCCTGGCTGGACAAACACTTCGTAAATGAAGGTCTCTTCCGCAATAGAAACATTTTCTGCATCGAATAGGAGCAACTACTGACAATTGTTCACTATCGTCATTTTTGTTCTCACACTGTTCAACAGCAGCTACCGGTGCTGAGGAAGATATTAAATATGAGGCAGAATGATATTCAGCAATTTTTAATGCTCTAGCTTGATCATAAGCTTTTTCTAATGAAATACTGACATTTTCTAATAACCATTCTTGAATGCATGGATTCTTCAAACCTCGGATGAATGCATCTCTAATATACTCATTTTTATATTCTTCTGCAGTAACAGACTTAAATTCACAATCCTTGCTCAACTGTTTTAATATTTGTAAATATTCATTTACAGACTCACCCGTTTCTTGAAATCTAGGGGCTAAACAGTGTTGAGCAAATGTTTCATTTCTTTTAGTAATGTACAATGAATCTAGAACATTAATTGCATTATCATATTATTGTGAATCATTAATGTATTGATAAACACTTGCAGATACGAAATTACATAGCTGCAGTGTTCTTTCTTCAGTTGCTTCTTTCAATTGTGTGAGAAAATTTGAAAAAGTTCTTTTCCAGTGTTTCCATTTAGATTCTGCTCCAACACATGCAGGGTCAACATCAAATCTTTCTGGTTTCAAAAGAGTTTCTATTTTGCAAAAAAATAAGGTATAAATTAGTTTTAGTAGATTAAATTGTTGTAAATATAATAAACTACTTTCCTTAAGAAGCTGAAATGAAGCTTTAATCTACTAAAACTGCACATAAAATAGAACATCAAATGTTATGTTGTAAGAACAATATTTAAACTAAGAATGATTGTTGCCATTCCATGTAATATAATTTTAATGCTGCCAATAATAGTAAATATTATACCACAGTGATGTTTATGTGGTCACAACAAACCTCTCAGCAAATTTTGAGGAAAAAACTGTATATCATAAAGGCAGCCTTGAGAAATATCTCAAACTGAAACATATTCAACATTATAATGAAAGTATCGGTGCTGTCGACACAGTAGACCAAGCATTTGAGCCATATAAAAGTTATGCATGATTTTAAAAAATCAGAGCTCCATAGTATTCATAGAATGTTTCTAACTGCCAGTGTGTTTTGTAATATTTATTATTCAAAAAGACTTAGACTAAAAATTTCACTTGCCTGCCATAAAATTCTTGTAAAATATGCTGATAATTACGCAAAATTGAGAATGGAGTACAATAATAAAAATGCGCCTGACAGGCTTTAGGCATTTGTGGATAATATCTTGGAAGGTTCAAGAAGAAAGTGAAATAGGTGCTGGATATACTATAATGTAAATAAATTAACCAAGCTATTTGTTTATATAATGCACTGAAATATTTAATTCCATTCTGTCACCAACTGACAACACTTTTATCTACTATTTTAGCTTTACTGCAAACTGATTGAAATGAAAATATATAAGGTTAATTACTTTTTTTTTTTTTTTTTAGCTGGCTATTTCTGGCTTTGAAGTTAGCTTATAAACTGGGTTTATCTCCTTCTGTAGCATTGATTGCTTTTATCTGTTAAATTAATCTTTGCCTGTAACATCCAGATGGACAGCACATAATCAACTAAATTAGTCACATCTGTGTTAGTAAAATAATTGAAAATTTGCATACATATAATATGTAGTTATGTTTGCTAAAAATAGATATGCAGTTATTATTCTGTCTTATTTGAATAAGAATTGGCAAATTGTTGTCACTACCCTACTCATTTTATTCTTTGTTTTTTCATCTATGTTCTGAATTTTAAGGTAAAATGTGGGGAGCTTTAATATGTGTTGGTCCACACGGAACTGGGAAAACTTTGGTAGCAGAAGCAATTTGTAATGAGTTTAATGTTCATGTGGAAAAAATTGATTGGCATGCTATTTATTCCAGGTAAGAATCAATATTTAATCTAATCACTTTTTTATTGCAATTATCTAAATTGAATTATTGTTAAATTCTTTCATTAATTTAATATTTTATAAATCTTTGAAGAAAGGTCTACCATCAAGATCTTTGTTTATTGAGAAAATAACCTGCTATTTTGCAGGGTAGCCATGCTAAAAAAAAGGAGAAAAGTTTTATTTAAAAATTTGCTGTTGGGAAATTTGTTATTTAGCAGAAGTTGCTGAATTATTCCAGTATTCTTTGTTTTGAAATTTATATATGCTTTCTTATAAATAGTTTAAAATTTCTTTGGCAAAAAATCTGAGATAGATTTCATTAGTCATTTCATACAATCCATAACCCAATAAACTTTTTTAATTTCATTTGTTACAAGCAACTCATTTAATGAATGTTGTTGAAACTAGGTTTATGTATTGAGAATGTTGATGAAACTTTGTTTATGTATTGCTGAGTTACTTTTTAGCCCAAAGGAGCAATTTGCCCAGAAGGGCAAATTTCGTTTTGGCATTTTGTGTCAATTCTTTATCAACAATGAATCCCTTTTTAAATTGTTGCCTCCAAATATTAGATTCCTATATTATATTTAAAGAAGTTAAATAATGAAGAATCTGCATTAAATGTAACTATGTTTCTCACATTTTGATAATAGCCATCAAATTTTGAATAACGCATGTCTGCACCTGAAAGCCCAAATCTGGAATTTGTTTTGTTATCTATCTCCTAATATAAGCATTTATGAGTTTTAATTAAGAAACTGGATGATTTCAAAGTGAGCAATAGCAACACTGTGCAGGGAAAAAAACTTTTTATCTTGAGCGTGCAAGACTGTGTATCGGAAATTCTAAAGATATGCTCTTTTAGATTATTTTAGATATGCTCTTTTAGATTATTTTGTGATACTGCTGTTGAATTGAATTTTATGGTTTAAGTGCAAAGAACTTTTTTAATAAATAAAGCCCAAAGGGGCATTTTTTTAACGTTAACACATAAAAAGTTTTAAAAAAATGCCTCTTTGGGCATAATATAACACATGAAAGCTTTCAGATTTTTTTTTTCTTGATTTGATCTATATTTTTAGGGTGTTTCTAGGAACTCTAGTATTTGAGAACATTTATTTAATCTTCCCGGTGCCCATTTTGATCTTCTAATTTTGTCATACTTTTTCACTAATAAGTATTTAGTCCAAGGTGCACCTTCTATTCTGTTGAACATAGCTAAAAACAGGGCATATTCTAGAATTGTGGATTCTTCTTAATTACTGATTATCTCAAAGCAACTAATTTTTCAAAATTTTTGTAATATTGTTCAGGCAACATTAATATCTGCTTGATTTCTGCATTCATAAAAAATGTGCTAAAGTTTGTCATTACTTAAATCTGTTTTATTTTCATGATGAAAAATTGCTCATCTGTTTCATTTTCATGGTGAAAAAGTTAGTCATTTTAATACTTTAAAAAACAACTTTATGAAGAAGCAGCTCCAAAATAAATTATTATAAGAAAGTTTCTTGATATTCTCGTTGTTTTAAAAGTTGTACTGAATGTTTTAAAAAAGATGCGTGTTTTATGCAGTGTTTGACGTATTCTTGTAAAAAAGCATCATGAGAGGCCATTTCAGCAAGAACCTTTTTTTTTTTTTTAATTTTGAGTAGTATTCAAGATGAAGTTTAATGTTTAAAAGATTATGTCCATTAATTTTTATAACATATATTCTTGCATACTTTCTTTTCCAATGTCTGTTTCTAGTAATTTGTATGAGAAAGATATTTTTGAGTTTTTGTGCGGGATGCACTAAACGATTCCCCCCATCTTTAAAGTCTTATTAAATTTCCATGGCTTATAAAAATTGTTTTTATTGCAATTGCTTTAACATATTCACTTCTGTTATGCTTTGCATTAAAGTTTTTTTTTTTTTTTTTTTAAAGTATTCATTGAAAACTTGTTTTCTTTTACTTTCAACAATAAATTGATCAAATGAGAATGGTATATGTATATGCAAATTTTGCTAAGATTAAAATATCTCAAAATATTAGAATTTTTGCGATATGTAATATTCTCCGATTGGGTTGCTTGCTATAAATAATGCAATGCATTACCCTGCATGTTTTGAATAGATGATGGTGTTTTTGGCGAAATTTGGTGAGTTAAAAATGCCATCTATGTGGTATAGCTTTTGCTGATGCTGCAGGCATTGTGTCCCAAGTAATGTTGTCCATCCATTCTTGACATATATCCATTGATTTATACGAGGGCTATCCAGAAAGTAGATTACGTTTTGGAATAAAAAAATAAACAAAGTATAGGAAACAAATTTTATTATATACAGATGAAAGCCACACTCAAATACTACTTTTCTACATAGTCACCATACAAATTAAGGCATTTATCGTAGCGATGTACGAGCTTGGAAATTCCTTCGTCGAAAAATTCGGCCGCCTGCGCCTTCAACCACTTCGTTACCTCTTCTTGCAGCTGTGCGTCGTCATCAAAACGCTGCATAGCCAGCCACTTCTTCATTGCTGGGAATAGGTGGAAGTCGCTCGGTGCCAGGTCGGGACTGTACGGCGGATGAGGAAACAACTCCCACTTAAAAGATTCAAGAACTTTACGAGTGACATTTGCCATGTGGGGCCGGGCGTTGTCGTGAATCAACAAGATCTTAGAGCTCAACATTCCTCTGCGCTTGTTTTGAATTGTAACCAAGCTTTTCGCTGATGATTTCGTGCAACAAACTTCACGAAATTTGTGGAAAACTCAAAGAAAGTTCCGTTATTGTGAAATTTCGATTTTCACGGACTTTAGCATCGACTTTTTCGAGAAGTTCGGCGGTCACTATGCTGGGTCTCCCACTTCGATCTTCGTCGTGAACATTGGTTCGGCCATTTTGAAATCTTATGACCCACTGACGCACTCCACCTTCAGTGATAATGTTGTCCCCATACACTTCACGAAGCTGCCGATAGATTTCTATCGGTTTACAGTTTTTTGCAGTCAGAAACCTTATTACTGAGCGCACCTCGCAGCTCGCGGGATTTTCAATTAACGCAGACATTTCAAACCGTCACAGTATCTGAACGGAGCACAGCACGAACCTCTCACTAGCATGGCTAGATGCAGACTGAGCTGCGCAACGCTCTGACCCCAAGATGGCCGCGCTAGCCCCGCCCCTAGCGGACACAGACGGAAACGTAATCTACTTCCTGGATGGCCCTCGTATTATATAGCTATAAAAATATTTGATTTCTTATACCTTATATATGATATAAGAAATAAAATATTGGCACTAATATAGTTCGGCCTTCACAAAAGCAAACTGGATTGGCATGCTGCCAAAACACTTAGAACGATCTGCAAGGGTGTTAATTGAATGCTGCAGGGCGAGAGGTCACACAAGGCTCTTTTCTTTGGCAGAAAGAGGAAATTAACTATCAAAGGTGGTACAGTCTTGTGTCATTGGCAAATCCTGTCATCGCATGCTTTTTGCATCTTTGGTTGGTTCATATGAACAGAAATCAAGATTTAGGTTGACTTAAAACCTGAAAACCAAGCATATACAATTTTTTTCATAATTTATGAATTTTTTTAGAAACAGTGCATATTCTATTACTTATTTTAGATAATAAGATCACTAAAAATCAGGGAACTATATTTATTGGCAGAGGTATACTTTTTTGTAGGATAGAGGGAAAAATTGTCTTAATTTTCACTTTTGTTTGTGCAGGATATGCTATATTTATTAGCAGAAGAAAAAAAAATTGTCTTGATTTTCTCTTTTGTTTGTGCAGGAAATGTCCAGATCCTAGTTGATTTAATGTGGCATTTTCCAGTTTTGTGTTTTGTAATCTTAACATTTACCAATATAGTAACATGACACTTGTCAGTGTTATAAGAATGTTTTTCATTCTTTACTAAAAAGAAAAAGGTTTTTTTTTTTTTTTTTTTCCAGCCAGTATGAATAATAATGCACATAGATTTTAGCACAAAAATTAAAAAATCACAAAGAAATGTCACAATTATTTATTACAGTATAATTGTTGTAATTAATTAACTGTAATAATTATGTGGTTATTATATGCTTATTATAATTAATTATTAGGAAATTTCTTTTTTTTTTTTCCAGTGTGTAATAATGTACATATATTTAAACTCAAAGATAAAAAAGTATATAAACATTTATTAATCATAATACTTGCATAATTATAAAACTGTCATAAAATTGTTATAATCAATTATAATAATAATGTTAGAGTTCACTGTACTAATAATGCAATGAAAATTATACAATAAAATATAACAATTAATTATAATAAATTTTTTTATACAATAACAATTATTTGTTACAATTTATTTCCTAATAATTAATTATAATAAGCATATAACACATGATTATTATAATTAATTACAACAATTATACTATAATAAATAATTGAAACATTTCTTTGTGATTTTTTAATTTTTGTGCTAAAATCTATTTTCACCTTAATTCTGTGCTATTTAAATGCAGCAGAAATAAACAGGGGGAAAAAAAGAAAGAAAAAATTCCTACTACATGATCCATATTTCCAATTTTATGAATAGAGTTTCATGTATAGCAAAGCTAAGTTTTCAAAGCATTTGTATTTTTACCATTAAATAATGCACAAAATAAATAAATGCACAAAAACTCAGCGTAATGTCACAGTTCATTACAAATGTTTATCATATTTTAGCTTATTACTTAAAAGTAATTTTCACCTTAATTCTGTGCTCTTTGAATTCAGCAGAAATAATCAGGGAAAAATATGAATGAAAAAAATCCCTACTACATGATCCATATTTCCTATTTCATGAATAAATTAGTCCAAATGGTGCATGCATGTTTGTGCTCAAGTCACAGATGCAGCAGTCAAACTATATGCATAATTAATAGTGCTAAATGAATAATTTTCTTGAGAAACTAGATCTGCAGTTGTTCTTGAATGCCCAACTCATTTTTTTTTAAAGTTTTTCCTCAGAGTGTCATTTTTGTGAGAGTTTTCAAGAAGAGTGTGGGAATTGTTTTGCAGCTTAGGTAGCCTATTCCCTTCATTAGTTGTTTCTTTGTTTTTGTGAAAGTGCTAGAGCCTCTGTAATAGTTCAGATCACTCCCTTTTTATCATATGCCCTTTGTTAAAAATCATTGTTGCTATATTGGATTTCTTTAAGATTCTCATCTTTATAAGCCCCAATGCAAAACTAAATCCTTAAAAATTTTCTGTTTCTGGAGAATCAGTTAGTCTCCAATAATATACACAACTCATTGGTTTAGCTGTTGATTCGCCAATACATTTCTGCTGGTTCTGATACAACTTTGTGTAATTTCTTTTGCAATTGATTTCTTTGTTTAATATTGCATGTATATTTAATTTTTATTGAGCTGTCTGAATGGTTAGTTTTCATGGTAATGTGGATATGAGTATATGAGTCTTTCCCTTAGAAAATCTTCTGTGAAGGTATGCTTCCTCTTAGGCATATACAGTAGACTCCCGATTATCTGCGCCTGCTGCACATTTTTTTTTTTTTTTCAGTGTAAAGCAAAGAAAATAAAAATGTTCGCAAATCTGAGCAAAACGTTAAATTTGCTAACATCGTGCTTATTTATGGCAAAAATATCCCAGGCCTTCTCAGAATTTTCCCTGCGGCCTTCTCGGAACCTTCCTCTCTGATGAGCAAGTGATTTCTTACTCACCCTTGCAGTGCCCACTGCACTGCCCTCTCTCGTCTTAATCTTACTGACACGTCCACTTCCTCCCACTCTCCATTGCTAGTTTAAGCCGGATAGTGTTTGCGAACTGGTCGAAGTTAATTTTTTATCTTTTATTGTGTTCAGTGCTTGTGCTTTTTGGTTTTGTGTTTTTCGTTACCGATTTAAAATGTCAGGAAAGTGAAAGAAGGTTGTGTTGATGATTGCGCAAAAACTAGAATTAATTTCCAAAGTAGCAAACAGCGTTACAAGGCAGCAGATGGAATTGGATTAAGGAATCGCGGAAACAACGGTGCGTGACATTCTAAAGCAAAAAGACAAACTGGTGAACTTTGCATCAATGTTGGACAGTGCTTTCACAATGAAAACGCGAAAAACTATGAAGGGTTCTACCTTTAATGAGCTAGACACGGCACTGAGAGAGTTGTTAGCTCAATTTCGAAAAGAGGGTACTCCTGTAAATGGTCCTATCATTGCGGCCAAGACAAAAACGTTTTTTGAGTTGTTAGGCTGAAAGGAACTTTTAATGTGTCTTCTGGCTCGTTGACTCGTTTTAAGCAGCGACATGGAATTCGAAAAATTGGACTTCATGGGGAGAAACTTAGTGGTGACCAAAAAGCAGCCGACAATTTCCACCATGAATTTGAAGAATTTGTTTTAAAAGAAGAGCTATCTTATGCTAATGAACAAATTTACGACGAATCGAGACTTTTGTGGAAATGTCTTCCCACTCGCACTTTAGCATTTGAAAGTGAAAGTAAAGCGGCAAGTCATAAAAGCAGCAGGGAAAGGACCACTATCATGTCTTGCAGTAATGCAAGTGTTGGACATAAACTTAGATTTATTGTCATTGGAAAGTAAAAAAAAAAACCAAGATCTTTCAAAGGCACAAGAATAGATAATTTGCCTGTTGATTACTTTAACCAAAAAAAAAAAAAAAAAGGATGGATGAACCGAAACATTTTTCAAGAATGGTTCGAAAAAATCTTTGTTCTTCAAGTGCGTAAACATCTTAAATCGAAAACCCTGCCTGAAAAAGCTGTGCTATTGATTGACAATGCACCTTCTCACCCAGCAACAAGCGTGCTAAAGTCTTCTGATGGACAAATTTTTGCAAAGTTTCTCCCCCCAAACTTTACTGCGCTAATCCAACCCATGGACCAAGGAGTCATTGCAACAATGAAGAGAACATACCGAACCAAGCTGCTAATGATCAAAATTGAAGAAGGTTATGATCTGAAAGAGTTTTGGAAACACTACACAATTTTGGACTGTATCTACAATATTGCATCTGCATGGGACTCAATGAAACCGTCAACCCTCATAAAATCATGGAGAAAACTCATGCCTAATGTTTGAAGCCAACAACAACCTAACCCCTTTGAGTTGTGAAGAAGAGAATGAAGATGTAAACATGCCCACGGCAACTCTTGCCAATATGGTGAAAACAGTTCTAGGTGGTGAGAACTCAATGCTGAAAACATTAACGAGTGATTGGAGTGTGACGTCAACAAACCTGGCTTCGAACGCTTGACAGATAGCGAAATTATGAAGAAAGCAAGGGGAGAGACCGAGAATGAAGGATAGCGAAATGAAGGCGAAGAAGAGCCCACTGTGCAGATGCGGAAGACTCATGAAGCAGCTTTGCAACAAGTCGACAGACTGCTGAGCTATTTGGAAGAACAAGACGACACGAAGTTGGCCGAGAAACTTATGCTACGAAAAATGCAATCTTGGATCAAGAGAAAATGCTTCCAAAGCAAGAAGCAAACAGATTTCATTAGGGAAGCTATTGGAATGTCACGAATTTTACTTTAATCATATATACTAACAGTTAAAATATTTTATTCTGTTGCATCAATGTCCATACTGCAATCTGTGATACTCTGTTCCATTTGAAAAGCCACCAAGCTTGTAAATGTTGCTACTTCTACTCATGCACTTTTTATTATTATAATTATGACTATTATGATATTATTATAATTATGACTTGCAATTTAACTGCTTAAATTAGAATAGTGGTTGGTCACTGAATTTGCAACTGCTTTCTGAATTTGAGTTGATGTCATCAACAAGCTTTTTATTAGATTAACTTATATATTTATTGCACTTTTGGTCCCCCCCCCCCAAAAAAAAAGCATTTTCTCAGTTTTTCTGTGGTCACAAATGTAATAAGATTATCAAAATCAAAAGGGATCTGTTTGAACATTTATTGAAATATTCCCCATGCGTACTTTATACTGATAGCTCCCTCCCCCATTGTAAAATTTCGTGAAAATAGCATTATATGGACTGGGATACAAGACCAAATTATTCAATAAGCCTCTGCCACACCCTCCAATAATACACTCTTTTTGCAAAAAAATCGAAGCTCCATGAAGGAAGTGGTTGTTTTTGATAAAATTGAATATGTGTATAGCTCATACACAGATAATTAAATGATTAAAAAATCAAGGTAATAGTACCTGTTCACAGCTCACGATCACTCATTAAGTGTTCAAATTAGTAGTTGGTTGAACCCACCCTGGTGGCAATGCATACTTGAATTCGTCGAGGCAAGCAGAGGTAGAGGTTCCTAATGTCATCCTGCGACACATTCTGCCAGGCATTCATCAGTTGTCGCTCTAGATCTGCGATATTTTGTGCCGCCCAAATCTGGCAGCCTACCATGTCCCAGACATGCTCAGTTGGTGAAAGGTCTGGTGACCTTGTTGGCCAAGGAAGAGTATAGCTTAGTCGACAATGATACCGTTGGGGCAGTGCGGGCCTGGCGAGCAATCATCCTAACTTGCCTCACATTTGTCCTCCTTGACCTTCCAGAGCCTTCATTTCATCAGCAATTTCCTTGTAGCAACCATTGCTGCCAACATCTTTGCACATCAGTGTCTGTATGCTGCAGGTGGCGGCCTATTGCTTGGTATGACCACCCAGCTTCACGCAACCCTACAATGCGACCATGTTCGAAGTCATTTAGTTATCTTCGATATCATCATAATGGCATCTTTATTTGCTTCTTTATGGAATTACAATTGCAGCAACAAAAAAATTATAAATTTTCCGCCTCTGTTACTGGTTTTATACTTTGCGAATTGCACACTATGATCATAATTCTTGTTCATTTTCCTTGAAACTTTGATCATGTGCATGTTCAATCAAGATGTTTTTGCATATCAAATTTCATCACAATCACAAAAGTCCTTCTTGGTGCTTCGATTTTTTTGCAAAAGAGTGATTGAAAAGACCTTATGTTAAAAACAAGATATCTTGTTGGTAGCACTTAGCAAATTTTCCTCAAAAATAAAATATCTTGTCTTGATTAATGCATTAAATTTATGAAAGTTAATATTCATTTCCTTTTTATATTTTAGAGATAATATAACTGATGCAAAAAGAGAAATAAGGACCATCTTTCAAAATGCTACAGCAAGGTATTTTTATTCTTGCATAATTAGGTATTTTAGAGTTAAGTCAGTAATATTACTGTTTATTATTAAAAATGTGTAAAATTTAAAAAAAAAAAAAAAAAAAAAAAAAAAAAAACAATTTATACATTTTTATAGGACTCCAAGCATAATATTAATGGATGGCTTCAATTATCTTTGTCCAAATGGAAAAAGAACAGATTTTCACAGCCAAGTTTCTTCTATCATATCTGATCTTGTTGAAGGTCAAAACGTAAGTTTTTATAAATGGATGCATATCTGAAAATATCAGTTTTAAGTTTTCATAGCTAATCCTAAAAATCAAAAGATTCTTGTGCAATTTCATGTTATTCTTCATTAGCAACTAACAAAGAAAAATATAAATATCCTTATTTTAGGTATTAAATATGCATTTAATGTAGTTTCTTCACTTTTGCATGATGCTGTGTTATAAAATCCCCTTCCACTGTTCAATAATTATTACATTAATAATTAATGTGGCTTGGCAGATTGCCAGTTATAAAACCATTACCAACCATATGCATAGATCTTTCAAATTATGGCATGCTTATTAATGTAACAAACTTAGCGATCGAACAAAAAATTAGTATGCCTTAATAATACTGTTAAGGTTTATATCGTTAGTATAAATAATAAAAGCTGTTGCTAACATCATCTGTATGTGCATTTTGTACTTCTTTCATAGAAATATTTTGCAGATGAAGGAAGCTGTTGGCTCTTATTCTATTTATTTCAAATTGCACCCATTTTCTTTTGAAAAATTAAATGCATTATGAAATTCATTGACATCATTAGAAACATTAGATTATATGAGTAAGTTTTATACCTTTCCTTCAATAAAAGAAGGGCAGTGATTTATTTCATAGAGGCTTGTCTTCTCAATATCAATGCAAGTCATGCATATGTATTATAGCAGATAAAAGCTAAGCTATAGAATTTTTAAGTGAAACTAAAATCCTTATCTCTGAGCTTTAATCAAGATTTTTATTTCTTCTCTTCATGCTTAGCTCAATCTTTGAACTGCTATGCATAAAGTATAGTGATCTGAATTTACATACTAAATACCTAACCAAGATTTCAGTTACTACTAAATATTTATCAATATAGCGGATGAATGCTGTTTGGGGTCATGTATTTTCCTTCCTTTGTTGATTTCTCATAATTATACTGTTTTTGTTGTAGATACATTGCTGGCCATTAAAATTGCAACACCATGTAGGAAAGCAAATGCATAAGAGGTATTAATTGCACATAAACAGTATGGCATGAAAACAATTTGCGAGCATTTTGGATGTTTACGGGGGGGGGTATGAAATTAGTAGAAACAGCTGCCATCCCTGGCAACTAAATTGGCCCTTACCCGATCAGGCATGGAGTCAAACTAGGCTTGGGTGACAGAAATGGGCAGCTCATTCCATGCTCCTTCAACTCTATGCCATACTTCATCAACCATATTAGCTGGAGAGAGATGGTGGTCCAGTCTCTCAGCAACCCATGACAAGATGTTTTCAATGGATAACAGATCTGGAGACTATGCTGGCCAGGGCAGCAATCAAATACCCTGCGTAACACGATTTACAACATGTGATCTTGCATTATCTTCTTGGAATAGAGCATTGGGGGTCCTCGAAGATAGAGTACAACCACTGGATGTAAGATGTCAGGAATGTACCCATCTGCATTCATATCCCCGTTAATCTGAACTAGAGATGTGCATGTCGTGTACCCAATGACTGCCCAAACCATCACACCAGGTGCAGGGTCCCTATGCCGATATCGGATGCAAGCATGTGACGTGCACTCTCCTCACAGCTTCCAGATACGTATACGACCATTAGAATACTGCACGCAGAACCGAGACTCGTCTGAAAAGATGACATAGTGTTGCTCCTGTATCCAGATTTGTCGTTCGGCGCACTGTCGAATGAAAAAGAGTCGTCGTCTTTTTCTATGCTGCACTGTCAAGGGAAGCCAAAGTAATGGTCACGTTGTTGATAGTCCACGCTGCTGCAAACATTGAGGCTCTGTGCGAGCAGATACTGGCGATATCACGGAACGATAATCTAAACTTTTGATAGACAACGATCCTGCCTTTATTTAATTTTTTATTTTTTTTAATCGATTTTTGGTCCTTAAAAGTCCTTAATTTCGGCCAAAATCGACAGAAGGTCCTTAATTTTAATCATTGGAAATAGCTGTTTGTTTTTTACGACTGCTATTTTGAGTGTAAATTAGCATTTTGGAGGAATATTTTTGGTGATTCAACTTACAGATATGGTTATCTTTTGAATGGGTGAATGGATTATAATTCGTTCCTATTTCTAATATAAATCGTGGGATTTTCAAGTTTTATAGTAAAAGAAGTGCAGCATAAGTATTTTTGAAATGATTTCATTTTTTCTAATGAAGAAGCTCTTAAACAACTTTTGGCTTTTCAGGGATGTGAATTATTTTATTAAACGGCTCTGAATTCAGGGGACTTATCAAGCATTGTTGGCGATTTTAAGATCAGTTTCTGTGGAAAAAATTTTTTATTTCGAGATCTGGGAATTTTTCGACATTTTTTTAAAACATTGTAACAAGTATAATTTTTATTAAAATAGTAGTAAAATATTGAAATTATGTTTAAAAAATAACATTAAAATAAAACGTTTTTAATTTTCACCGTCATATTATAAAGTTCCATTTTGGCCACTTATTATACAATATTTTGAATCTGCAAAATAAGCGAGGTATACGAAACAATTAACAAAACAGTTTTAGCAAAAGAAAAATAGCTATGTCAATAATTTAAAATGTCTTTTTTAATTTTTTCATGGTAAGAATTTTTCCAATGTAATTGTCTCAGAGTATTCAGAATTATCAGAATATTCAGTTTTCTCTATAAAATTAATTTTACACCTTTTCCCTCTGATATTTTTTCTCAAAATATTTCTGGCTTTTTACTGTTACAGAATTTTTCTTTAGGATTTAGACATTGCAGCTTAGAAAAGTTTAGAATGATTTGAAGGCAAAATTTCTAGACCCAAGATTCTAGAAAATTACAGAAAAATGTCTCCATGCTATTAACACGTAACAAATGTATTTTGCAGAAAGTTTACGATGTATTTCTTACTTTTTGAAGAAGGTCTGGAAGAACAAAGAAAACATAATATTTGAATGTTTTACTTCTGATACTAGAATCGTTTTCTTAACACGTTTATCTTCTCTTTATTTTCTCTAATTTTCACTAGACACAGACATGGAAAATATCAAAAATGCTTTTATTCTTATCAGTAGGACAGGCATTATAGAAATAAATTTTTTTCTTAGTAAAAAAATTGAAAACTGACAATTTAAATGAATTCATATTATATATCTGAATGCATCATACACAGAGCTGGCGCTAGGCATTTTCCCACCTGATGCAATCTCTGTGGATCCTAAATTCTGCTTCCAATGCCTGCTCTAAATTCTAAAAGTTTTGCCATTTCTAGATTTTGTTGCTTGGTGTGTCACTAAATTCTAAAACTTCTGCCACACCATCTCTGCAACCAGCCAGTAAAAATCCTTTCCTTATTTCAATATAATGAATATTGAATCTTGTAGGAAGAATAAAGCTAATTTTTCAGAATGAAACAAATACTTTTATTTGAAATTTTAAAACAGAACCAAAAAAAATAAATACTGCAGCTCTTAACTATCAAAATTTTAAACTCTTAACTACTACAGTTAAAACTCTTACAACTATTAAAAATTAAAATCTTAAACTCTCTAAACAAAATATATATAAAATCTTTCCGAATCCTCTTCTTGTTGCCACACCGTAATAAAATGCAAGTTCTTGTCCTATTATTTATATTTCACGTTTTACTCTTTAAGTCACGATCTTCACAATCTTTACAAATCACGTCATGATCTTTACAAGTCACGATCTTTACAAGTCCCCCCACAAGAAGCACATTCGTCACCGTAGAGACAATGTTGCTCAGAGTTCATTGAGAGAGAAAGAGTTAACAGCTAACCTTGACAAAGCATCAGCATTCCCATGTGAACTTCCTTTGCGGTATGTCACAGTCATGTTATACCGTTGTAACGCTAAGGCCCAACGAGACAGTTTAGCACCATGAGGGGCGCTTTGGGTCAAGTAGGTGAGGGGATTGTGATCAGACACAATCTGCACTTTGGCACCGAAAATCCATGTGTCAAATTTTTTCAAGGCTTCGATGACACAAAATGCTTCTCGTTCGATGGTTGACCATCGTTGTTGACAGGGCGTTAATTTCTTGCTGAAAAATGCTATGGGCATTTCTTTGCCATGTTCGTCGTTTTGAGCTAAACACGCTCCAATTGCGAAAGCAGATGCATCCGTATAGAGTTGAAAGGGCTTGCTGATGTCCGGAGTATGCAGAGATGGCATTTTAATCAACTCTTCTTTATGTTTGTTGAAAGCTACTTTTTTTTTCAGAGTCCCATGGATTATTATTTGGAACACTCTTCTTTATAAGGTTTGTTAGAGGTAAAACAATCTCAGAAAAATTTGGGATATAATCCCTATAGTAGCTTGCTAGCCCTAAAAGACTTCTTTTTTAGTGGTAGGCTTAGACAGATTTCTGATGACTTCTACCTTCTCAGGATCTGGAGAGTGAGTGCCAGAACCTATTACATGTCCTAGAAACTTCACGTGACTCTTTCCGAAATCACACTTTTCTAGATTTGCGGTTAGACCTGCGTTTCTCAGTGTCTGAAACACTTGGTCGATGTGATAGAGGTGGCCATCCCAAGTTTCAGAAAATATTGCCACATCATCAATATATGAACGGCAGTAGTTCTTATGGTTTGCAAGCACCTTATCCATCGATTTTTGGAAGGTACTTCCAGCATTTTTCAAACCGAAAGGGAGAACTTTCCATTGGTAATGGCCGGAATGAGTGATAAATGCTGTGTAGGGTTTAGCTTCTTCTTTCATAGGAATTTGCCAATATCCCTTGGTTAAATCGAGAACTGTTATGAATTTGGCTTTCCCTATTTCGAATAGTAAATCTTTAGCAATCTTCATCGGATAGGCGTCCGGAACTTGTGAAAGCCTGAAGTCTATGCACAGTCTAACGCCGCCATTCTTTTTTGCAACAACACATACTATAGGATGTGCCCAGTTACTGTCACTGGGTTCTATAAGATCCCATTCTAACAAATCTTTAACTTGACGATCGACTTCCTCTTGAAGTGAAACAGGAACACGGTAGGGCCTCAATCTTTTCGGATTACATCCTTCTGTAACCTTGA